AGTCTTGTTAATGGCTAATAGCTTCACCAAAAGAGTTACCAAGAGCGTCGCCCGAACTCAGTGCTATCTGTGCTGTGACTCTTGCATAGGCAGGCCGAGGCAATCACCCAACACAGGCACAGTCATCAGAGGTGTTGAACAGCTCCTAGCAGAGGATGCCGCATGCGCTTCCTGCTCCCTTTACTTTCGCTCTGGAGTGGACTTGTCACATCCTGACTTCGTAAACCTTCGATGCAGGAAGAGTGTACATCCACCAGAGCCCTTAGAGTGCATGCCCTGCTTTGAGTCCTTGAGGCCGTTTGGATGATCTCGCGAAGACGTGGGATTCCCAAAGTCACGTTGGCACCTGCGGCAAGGAAGCACACGCCCTGCTGACAGGCGTGGCATGCTAAGAGATTCACTGACAAACAGGCCACCAGGACGCCTACACCTCTTGCTGACGCATCTCATACGCTTGGGCTCTTAGCTGCTTGAAGGAGCCATGTCGGAACGAGCCACAGCCTCCATGTCCTGCTAAGTGGAAGGTGTTGAGCGTCATTTGGGTGCTCGGCTCTCCTTAGAAGACAGGATCTGCGCAGGAATCTGGCTTTTTGCTGAGGAGCCCATATTGAGTATAGGTTGCCATGATAGGGATACAGTGAACTAGTGAACACTGCGCGTGGCTTCCTGAGTAGCTCAACGCAAGCTCCTTCACAAGAAGCTAGGAATTGAGGTGCTCGCCCATGCTTTGGGCCGCAATGACACCAACTGCTTCGCCGGGTTCAGCCAGCGTGCGCCTTACGACTGCAAGCTGCGGATCATGGGCCTACTCTGAGTAGAGACTTCGGGTCCCTATTGTAGCTCCTCGAAGGGCTACAATGAAGGGTACCATATGGTCTAGGGTTGATATCAGATGCCGTGACCTGACGCAGAAAAGTGAGACATTCTGGCAATGAATGCTCGGGGCCCTGCTGAAACTTCAAATGCATTGCGCGCTCGAAGTGCTTTGCCTGCAAGGCTCATTCATGAGCACTCACGAGCGTTCAACGAAGACTCTGTGAGCAACTTGAAGGATTCGTTCGAAGCTCTGATGCAGGGGTCGTATCTGCCTTGACACTTAGAATAGGATTTAGGGGTATATCATCCAGCACCTGCTGGTAGAACTACAGCAAAGGATTCCTGAGGACTACAAGCCCTCTAAATTATTGGTGCAGCAGCGCACCTCCTTGCTCGTCATCTGCCCACTCTCCGTGCTTTGCTTGAGATACTTCTGCAGTGCCTGGGTTTAGGCTTGACGTACGGCTTAAAAGGTTTAGGGTTACAGGATTTAGGGTCTTGGGGTCTAGAGTGTAGTTGCCGAAGTCTGAGCCTCAATACGTCGCAGCGACAGTGGCGCTTCACCCTCAAGGCGCGCGTCGCAGTCGATGCAACGGCCAGTTCTACCAGCCAGTTGCGAGCTTGCTTGAGGTTATGCATGCCGCTCACCGTACCACACGACATGTTCACAAGAAAAGAACACATAGGCCAAGGCGGCAAAGACATACTCCCGTATCTACGAGCCGCACTCTGAAGCCCAAATCCCCCGAGCCCTACACCGCCGAACCCAGAGCTGCCAAAGCTTGAGGCAAAACTGAGGAGATTGCTTCCTCGTGCTTCTCCGATGTCGCTCCGTAGTAGTGCGAAGGCCCTAGCCTCAAGTGAAAGTTGATTTGGGAGGTTACTCCCTACAAAGCCCTAAGCCCAAGGCTTTAAGGGAACGCTAACTCAGCGCCTCACTCCCCAACTCTGCTTCTAATAACCTGCCCAGTTGACGGCCGACTGATTCTACAGACAGAAGCTGATAGTGGAAAAGGAACCCATGTAGCGACCAACCTTGGGTGGATCGCTTGGACGGAAGTGGTCAAGATTCTGGAACAATCTAACCTTTGCCTCAAGCCCTGCACTCACTGCACCTAGATTTCAAATCGTTCTATCGGCATGGGCCTCTTGCTTGCTCTCTGTGTATGTCCGTGATAACTTCATGACTTCGTCTTGCATATGCAATATATATATATATATATATATATACATATATATATACACACACACACACCTGTGCAAGCTATTGCAGGAACGTACCTGTGCAAATATAAACACACATGAAGTAAATCTCAAACAATTGGTAAGTATGTGCATGAAACAGCACATGCGCCTGCTTAACTTGCACATCTACGTGATATTTCAAGCAAGTACATGTATATGCACGTACAGTTTACTGGCGTGTTTATGCATACATACCCACATACTCATACATACCTACTTAAACATGCCAACATACATCATACATTCATAGATACATGCACGGATACACGCAGAGGTTAGTATACATATATATATATATATATATATATAGATGCTCACACCCCCCCCCCAAGACCTACCGCGAGGTGCTTCGGCTAGCAATGGGTAGTAGAACATGTAAGGATTTGAGGAAACCATTAGGATAAAATACTCTCATACATAAACAATGGAAACGTATATCGTGTATAATCAATAGCTGAATACACTGTAATGACCTACGACGGCGCGACATCGCCGTTGGCGGATTTGGGCAAGCTTCAATGCCTGCAATTGTTTAATAGGATACTGCCTAAATGTTCCGGATATTCATAACTCTGGTCATATAATGACCATAGGCATAACCCGAAGACAGGACCAAGACAGAACAGTGTCTACATCCTACGTAAGATCGTTAGATGCGCCGGGTAACTTTGTGTTTGTCATTGTCTGTTTTTAATTTTGTTCATGTACTCATAGGCATAACCCAAAGACGGGACCAAAACAGAACGATGTGTGCATCCTACCTAGGATCGTAATGAGGGTTACATGTGCACACATGTTTATTCTGTGTGAAGCTCTTAGGTTACTCATGCGCCAATGTGTATAATAGCTATTACTAGTGCGAATACTAATACTGATACTAAGATTTCTATTCCTACGAATAAGGATATTACTGTTCATAACATAATAGGCTTAATGGTTAATACTAGTATTACAAATTGCACTACTAATTCGAATAGTAGTGCTGATGGGAATATTAACACTCCTGGGGATACTAATACGCATATTCTTATTAACTGTTCTCAATATGAATACTAATAGTACTAGTTGTTTGGAATACTAATACTTGTCCGAATATTCATACCAATACTCAGGCTACTGCGATTATACATAATAGGACATTAATATGGGTATTCGTATTAAGGTCAGCATTTCCTTCGAAAGTATTCATATGCGCATCATAATTCATCTTAATACTCGTACTGATATGAATTAGTATGATTACAAATACTTTTACGAAGACGGGTACTTTCAGTAATACCGATACTAATATGAATACTAGTGTTCCTACGAATATTAAAAAACATACCCATATAGATAGTAATTTTATTTTTTATTTGTTACCAATATACACGCAAATGCTAACATTAATACTAATATGCACATAAGTGATACAGTTCCTCCGCAGATTAATGCGCATAGTCTTATTAATTATTCTCAGTATTTATATTCACATTAAAAAACCTACACTAACATGAATAGCAGTATTACCACTTGATACTCGAGATAATACGATTATGCATAGTATGAACAGCGATACTGCTATTCATACCAATATTAATGCTCCTACGAATACTAATAATCACGTTCAAACCAAATACAAAAAACAGACACATCAATGTACCAAAGAATCTGTATTTTCACATACCAATAAATAATATACTCGTATACTACTATTCCAATGTTACCATAGACTATGAGACTATACACTGGTTAATATTAACACTAAGAATAAGGCAGAGACTAAGACCAAGACTAATACGAATACTAAAACTCACACTAGACATTAACACTACCATTAGTACACCTATTGTATAGACTTATATTCAGACTAATGCTAATGCTGACATTGGAATTGACATTGACACTGACACCAACACTAACAGTAACACGAATCAACACGCTAGAACGCAGATACTAATACTAACACTAATGCCTAATGCACATCTGAAGACTACTGCGCGTAAACAACGAAACCATTTCCGATCAAGCATGCTGCGCGCTGTATTGGCTCTAAGGCTCCGAGAACCAAAAATCCAAAAAACCAAAAAACCAAAAATCCAAAACCTTTGTCAGGGGGGTCGAAACTTTTGGATTTTTTGGTTTTCCTAGGGTTTTTTTGGTTTTCCAACAGAAAACCAAAAAAATCCAAGGTTTTTTTGGTTTTCCAGCAGAAATCCAAAAAAATCCAAGGTTTTTTTTGGTTTTCCAGCAGAAATCCAAAAAAACACAGGTGTTTTTTGGTTTTTCACGAGAGACACAGCAGAAAAACCAAAAAAACCTTGTGTTTTTTTGGTTTTCCACCGAAAATCCAAAAAAAGCCATGGTTTCGCCAAGGCAAAGCCCAAAAAACCAAAAAAGACCTAGGAAAACCAAAAAATCCAAAAGTTTCGGGCCCCTCAGAAAGGCTTTGGATTTTTGGATTTTTGTTTTTTGGTTTCCGCCGTCGTATCGTATGGTTTCTTTTAATGTTTCTTGCTTATGAATACAGGCATATGAATTTGAAAGCGGACATGAGTAGGCACGACGTTGTAAAGAGACATGACTTCACATCAGCCATGATAGAGAAGGTATCATCCCCGAAAATTACGCAAAACACGAATCGTATGCCAAACGCGAATCCCTGCCAAGAGAAGGTTTTGACGGTATTTACAATGGAAAAGAGGCCGAGGTAGGTCATGGGGGGGGGTGTGTCCATATAGATATATAGATATAGATATAGATATAGATATAGATAGACAGATAGATAGATAGATACATGCATGCACACGTATATACATACAGAATAATAAGGTATGCAGGTAGCCAGGTACCAGGCCCAATACGTTTACTGTTGACGAATCTCTCGACAACTTTTAGAGCCCCAAAACCGGAGAGCCCTGCTCTTCTCAAACCGTTCGACGGTTTGCGGTTTAAGGTCATCACTCCGTGCAACAGCAAGCCACTGGGTGCCCCTGCACCGCAGAAATGGGATCGAATAGGCGGTCCTGTTCGTCGCAGGTGCAAGCATGAAATGAAAAGCTTTAAGGGACATTCTTAACAGCTGGCCTGCGAGTCTGTGCCCCTGTTTGACCAAAGCGGTCTGCTACTTGGAAGCTCCCATTGCGCCCGGTCTCTGAGGTCCCCACACACTCGGCTGCTGTGCCCTTCTTGATGTGGCTCCGAAGTTTCTTGCGCAGGGACTTCCTCGGTGTTGAATCCATTTGGCGGTCCGGATCTGAGAAGAGCAATCAACTGAGCTTCATCTAAGCTTGCAGCAGGGAAAGCAGTGAGCAGGAGTCCAACTCCGTCTGCAATTTCAGCAGTGCCTCAACGGCCTCGCAGTGGGTTGTGCACCAGGTCGCCACGTGGATAAACGGAAGATGACGCGACTGCCTCGAGTGCCTTTGGGAGGTTGCCATCCTCGGAGTATTGCTGCCATTGTCTGCTGCTGTCGCTTCTTAAGGGCCCCCTACCAGACTCGACAACTCTAGTAATTTTGAATGACATCATGTGTCTCCAACAGCCGACTGAGTTTCGCGCTTTGGCTGCCTGTCTGGCGGCCAAGAAGAGGCGCGCACACCTCGGACTCTGAGACTCAGTCACAACTTTAAGGCGCACTGTCAGCAATCATGCTGAGGTCCTTCGGACTGAAGTCCGCTGTCGTGTTTAACCCAAAGTAGCCGAGATACTGGATATCCACAGCTTGGCTGCTTTGGCCTCAGCTGCGGGCTAATCGAAAACGGTCATCACACGCGTCTGCCCAACACATTTGCCTCCACTTCTGTGTCATTGCGACAGCGGGTTCGGTTTGGAGACCCGCAATTCAGTACGGAAGATTCGGTTGGGGTTCTGCGAAAAAGAGTGTAGTAATCTCCCGATCGGAATCCGATGAGTCACGCGCAGCACTAGTTCACTCGCTGCAGAGCAATGTAAATGCGAAAGCAACAAAGCTCGGAGGGCTGCTCATCTGCTGTAGTTTGCTCTTCACCTGCGAAGTCAGAAGTCCACAGATTCTGCGAGTGTGCTCACTTCTTCGCTTGGGGCTCGGCAGGTTGCGCGAAGAAGTGGAAGTTGGACCTTGCAATCGCGGTTTGCATGTGACAGGGCTTCCTGTCTCGACAGCATTCTGTCGGCTGCGCGGAGCACATGACAATTGCTCGCTGGAAGCGTTACTCACACCGAAGCTGACAAAAATGCGGCTCCCTGCATGAGATAAGTGCAGTCGCTTGGGTGTCCGGCCGTAGCTCTTCGAACTTGAAAAGGTACGTGGCCCGAGTGACATCAACTCCGTCCTTGCCATTGCATGCTTTAGACACTGCAGTTCGGGCCACGCTACTGCGCTGTTGTTACAATCCTCTCCGTAGAGAAACTGTAGAACGGAGCCATCACTGTCACGCACGGTATGATCATAGCTCACCTGCGCAGCCAGTCAAGTTCCTCCGTGTACCGCCTGACTTACGCAGAAATCCATTCCAGGCACCTTGAGTGCCTCCAAATGCTTCACGAGGCATCGCTGCAAATAGCCTGCCAAAAATAGACAGCCATGCCCAAATCTCCTGATTATATACAATCCAAGCAATCAACGAGATCAGCGTGGAACCCCGAAGTAAAACCGACGCTCAGAGCCTGAGCGTGACGTCTTCACAGCCGTGTCCACCAGACCTTCTCGCCCGGCCATGCAGTGGAAGAAGAACTCCTGACAGGTACTCGCGGTGTATGACAGAGGAAGAGAAGGCTAGGTCGCTCGGCACCGACCATGTCTTGGCCTGCGGTCGAATGCCCGTTAAGAATCGGTCAGCGATGTAGCCTGACACGGTGCAGCGTGGGCAACTTCTTCCTTTGGCTCCAACCATCCAGCTTTTGCAAAAGATCATGCTGTTCTTGCCTCGGGTTCGGTTGGAGAGATCACGCACGGCAAAGCACGGCAAGGACCTGCAAAAAGCTTGACACACTTAACACTTACAGAATGCTGGACCCTTAGACACGAGACAAGTGTAGACATCAAAGTACCAGGAATCAGAATGATGGCAATGTGAACTTCACCACGAAATGCCTTTGCCATCATCACAATAAGTTCTCATCATGACCATAGCCATTAGCACCACCAGCAATATCCCCATCGTCATCATCATGTCAAGCCTCGACACAGCCGCACTGGCAACACCACCATCTTGGCCACCATAACTCGCAGCTACCATCATCACGTTCATGACCTGCACCCCCACCCACCAGCACCATCAGCCTCACTCTCATCATCAGTGGCTGTGACGCCAATCCCTTATCATCCATGCCAGGTAGAGGTGCCAGACATGATAGTTTTAGACAGTGATAACATCGAGAAACACCGCCAGCAGGGAACATTCACGCCAGTCCCACTTTGAGCAAGAAAAGCCTCTGCGTCGTCATCAAGGGTGGAAGGCGACCCTCCAGCTCCTTTCGAAACCGCTGTTTGGGTTAACTGAGTCTAACTTCAGGTTGTCGGATGTCAGGATGTTCGAAGGAGATCTGGTGGTGCGGCGTCCTGCTGTCCCAAGCAGCAGCTGACTTGCGACCTCAGCGCATCACAAGGGCTGCTGCAGTTTGCGCAGGCCACTCTGCTCTCAGACCAGTCGCGGATTCACACAAGTTGACATGGACGTGACTGTAAGCTTCTTAACAACTGCTGCTTGTCAAGGATTATATAACTATAACAGGACTCGCAAGCTGCTTGCGAAAGCAGTAGTGTTGCCTTAGAAGCGACCCCATGACAGGGAAGCCGATTCAGAACAACGGCTCGGCCCCCGGCTGATTGACTTTGGACCCTTTGGCTCCCGTCTGCACCATGGACTGGGCCAGCTTCAAGGCTTCGAGAAGGGCTTTTGGGCTTCAGGGGGGGAGCCTCCTGTTCTGCTCTCATGTGAACCCTCCAGCTCCTCAAGCCCTACACCCTAAATCTGCAAGATTGGACTCCGCCTCTAGGGCCCAGTCTGAGGTCCGGAGGCACACAAGAGAGACCGAGGCCTCTGCTGCAAAACAGTTCCGAGGGACTGCGAGCCGCTGGCCAATTGGAATGCACCTCGGGCTCTTGGGGGAGGTGTTGAGGGCTTTAGGGCTCTAGGGTTGCTGAATGTGTGGAGGGTTCTGGTCGACAGAATCGACAATCATTTTGCAGGACGGACCCCCCCCTTGCCGGGAGGGCACTGCACGCAAAACGCGGCGATTTGAGCCGGGGCTTCCGCTTGTTGATCATGCCGGACCAGAACTCCTTCATCTTGCCTGCATGTGAAGGGCACTGCTGGATGCACGCAAATAGTCTGCCACCGCGGAGGGAATGTCCTACCTGCGGCCTCCTGCATCGCAGGAGCTTACCAAGGCTCGGACCGATGATCAAGCCCTCAAAGTGCTCCACGGTCTCCTTCTGCTGAAACCTTGCAAGAACTTGGCCTAAGGGAACTAGTGACCTAGTCTGATACACAGGAGAATGACTACCCCTTCCTGAAGCGGGACCGTATCCAGAGCAACCCGTGCACATGTACAGTGTACACAGAGAAGCACCTTGCTGGGAAGCTGAGCTCCGGGCAGATGCTTGGATGCCTTTGAAAGTGCGCTTGGCGTGGGGTTGGCTGGCCTTGTGTAGGCACTCGCCCGTGAGGACTGCAGAGTTTTGCACGAGATAGAATTTCCACACCTTCGCCCTGTCTGTAAGTAACTATGTATGTATGTCTATATGTCTATATGTATGTACATTTGCAAGGAGAGGTATGTACACATTGATGTGTATATATATATATATATATACACACACACACACACACGCAGCATGTACGTATGGAGTGACGAATTCACAGTGTCATCTTTCAAGTCTGGCTAGGCTCAGCGCAGCTCTTCGCCTGCACCATGCTTGTGGATCCTGGCAGCGGCAAGCAAAGCCGCTTCGTAGGTCGTAAGCCCATGAGTGAGGACGGTGCGGTGCCTGGGTGAATGGCTGCTTGCATGGGCTGCTTGTCTGCTTGTCAAAATGCGGCTTGTTTTCGTGCTGATGGACTGTAAATTTCAAGACTTGTCAGGTGTGCCACTGTTCAGCCACCTCCTTTGCGGCCAACCGCCTTGACGAAAGCGGAAGACTGTGGCTGTGCTTGCAACCTTTGAGCATGCCAAGCATCGAGCGCTCCCTTGACCAGCTCGGTCCTCTGCAAAACCACGGATGGACCACACTTTTCGGCATCTTCCATGGCAAGTTCTCCCGCGAGTCTGTGCAACAAGCAAGCAGATTGTTCACCAAGCGAATCGCAGCTGGAACTTCACTTCCCGGTCCTCTTCTCGTCGATTTCCGGTCCTACCGGTACATGTGGCAGACTGCTGTGGTTTGCCGGCCCATATGAAAGCTTTCAGTGTATGGTTCTCTAACTTCTGATTCTCTGATGGCACAAAACTTACCCACATGAATTCATCTGCTTTTGCCCCTATCCTATCTGCCCAAGTCACCGACATCTCTGAGAACCAGACTGAGGACAAGGTCTTCGTAGGCGCACGTGAAGCCCCTCATCTGCAACAGCAGAGTGAACAGCCTCCCAGGCCATGGGATTTGGTTTTCAAGGCATCAACCGCCTCCAGACGTTCATCTCCTAGTTCTGGGCCTGGCGATCCCGGAAAGCCAGAGACCTGGCAATGCACAGAGTCGAATCCCGGAGACTTCCGAGATCAAGGCAAGCTGTCGCTGATAAACTCTACAAGCCGTGAAAAATGCAATTTTGAGAACTAGTACATGCCCGAAGCTTCACCCTGTTCCCAAAACCCTCCACGCCACTTCCAAACCCAGCGCCCTCGACTCGATCCTTCCCTCTCTCATGTACCCAGCAGCCTCTTTCCGGCTCCCACCCGATCGCCCTCCTCTGCTAATGCACGGCAGGGGTACTGACAAGTCGGCCGCCCATGAGCTCGAAGCACATGTGCCTGCCATGGCAGGAGACCCCTAGGAATCGTACCACAAGTGGCGGCTTTGGACCCGCTTATTCCCGTGGCCATGAACACACGGGTGCGCCGAAACACTTGCTGACGCATCCTTGTCCACTGTTCAGGCAACCTGACGCATGTTCCGCCGAACATGTTCTCTACAGTAATCCGGCCAGGTCGGCGTGATTCCTGCCGTCTCGGCACCTGAGTAACAAATGGGATCCGTGTCATAGCTTGCTGTGCGGCCTCTTCAGGAATACCGTGGTCTGAGCCCCGGGCCGAAGGATGCCTTGTCCAGGACCTGAAGGAGAGAGGAACTGTTGGGCCCCTTGACGCTTTGGAGCGAGGGCTACAGCAAGAAGGGGTTCCTGCCTTTCGTACGATGCACACAGACGCATGCACAGGCGCTTTATAAAAAGACAAACCCCAACCCGGACCCCTGACTAGCAACACATGCCGCAAATTCCGCGATTCTACACCAGACTAGATCCAAACTGGTGGCACGCAGGAGCAGTACTTCGTTTCAGTGACATTCATCCCCCGTGCAAACGAATGAATCAAGCTCAGTTCTACAACACACCGATATATCATATCTCACTGTCTGCAGGCTTGTAAGAATGCATGCATGCATTCAGCCACAAACACGTCAAAGGCTCTTGTTGATTCACAAAGCTACCCGAGCCAGAAACATGGAATAACATGAACTAACCGACATCACGTCGGACTCCTTTGCACCCACCGCTCTCTCCCGACTGTGGTTTGAAGAGCAAACTCCCCATCCATTGCTTGACAATCTGAGTTCCCGACTCCCTGCAAGAGATCGGATCCGCGAAAAGTCACGGTGGCCTTCATTGTCATCCAATGCAGGTAGGGGTGCGATTGGGTAGTGTTTGCAAAAGTTTGCAAGCTCCCATACTTTCAGAGGCAGCGTCGAGAAAGAACGGGCCTCCTCTTTGTCGCCATCTAATCTCCCATTCCAGATATCTCCCGGCCTTAACAGAGCCGGCCGCCAGTCGGCTGCAGACTGCTTTGCTTCAGTGCTTAAAGCACGGCTGGCAAGAAGAGGGCGCTGCGTTTTGCTTTTCCCGTCCAAGTTGACCCCCTTGGACGTATCTGCCTCCTGAGAGGGAGCACGGAGCAAGACTTGTAGATGGTTTTTCCGGATTTTTTGAATACCTGCGCAGGGGGTTCTACGAGGTTCGACTAGGTACTTTCTCGACTACCATATCAACCCTCCCTGATCGGATGCTGAGATTGAGTCCTTCCCTTCGGAGCAGACCTTGATGAGATGCTTCAGCAGCATGCTCAAGACCTCGCTTCTTTGCAAAGCTTTCTGAGTGCTAAAAGCCTTGAGGGTGCTGGGGTTTGGTGTTTGGGATTGATGCCGGATCCGCGTGTGAAAGCTCCACGGGGCGCGCCTGCTTTCCGGACCAGAGCGGCCGGGGACGAAGCCTCAAAAGCCACATCTTCCTTCCTACGTCAACGGGAACTTTGGTGTTTACAGCAGGGTCCGATCGGCTGTTTCTTGATTCTGATGAAAAATCTGTCCAGGATGAGATTAGTGCAATTGAGCCCCTGGCACAGCAGGTGGGTCCAGCTCCACCTTGAACTTCTGGGCCTGAATTTTTCCACGAGTCAGGAAGAGGTTGATTGCGGATCCGCTAGCTTGTTCGCGACATCCTTGCTTCCACTTCGACAACACAACTGTGAAGCCGTGAGCTTGCAGGTCTCCCAACAGTCCCCGGTTCTACCATGGCCATGGATCCATATTCGGATAACTTCAACTAGGGCCAAATAACGTCAGGCTGAGGACTCCACATTCATTTGCACACTCGGGCTGAGCCATGGCCGGTCCTCGTGACCATGGGGCAATGCGGTGAACTGCGATTCGGAAGAAGCGGTGCAAGCCGTGTATACCCAATGACAACCATTCCAAGAGCGAGATTGCGAGGTTTGGACAGCTCCAAAAACCAGAGGAAGGGAGGGATCTGACTACTGTAGTTGGAAGAAAGCCAGAATGGGTGCAGGACCGTGGCCCAAGCATAATTCCGACCCAAGAATGTGAACGGCATTTTGACGGTAGCGCAATTCACCAAGTAGGACCAGAAAAGTGTTGCCTTTTGCAATGAAGTCGGACTGCCGGAGCCGTGTACCCTGAACCGTGGCCTTGAAGTTCTTGGCGTCCTGCGCAGCCTCCTGCCGGACGTTGGCTTCAGATTTTGGGGGTTCCTGGCACCTCCCACCTCCCACCCTGCACTCATCTGAAAGCAGGTGGCCAAGGAACCCCAACTTGCGGTTCAGCAGTCTAGGCTCCGGTCCTCTGGTGGTGCAGGCGTTTTGCGGGCCTGAGGCAGCGCCAGGGCCATGCTTGCAGCATTGGAATCCCTAAACACACGGCGCAGGCCGCCACACACCACAAGAACTAACATGCTGCTCGCGGTGCCTTGCGACGCAGGGTCCTGAGTGGCGAGAGCTCCGTGAACTGCACATGCTGAGTTCAAGCCTGCACTATCTCAAGCTTGTTTGGATAGTAAGACTGCGTAGCAAGATCCTTCCGCTGTGCAAGGACGTATAAGGGCCTCCAAATAGGGCAGACCTGCTCTGAACCAAACGAAGACCCTGCAACGTTGCACCTCCAGGGGCCCGGCAGAAATGACATAGCGGTTGGCTTATTCGATGCCTCGAGCCTGAAGGCTTTGGGTGCGATGGAGAGGCCGCTCACAGGACAGGATAGCACATTTCGGACATTTTGAGCCTTCTCTGCACTCCGCGCATGGAACCGACTCTCGCATTCTGAGGAATGCGCGCATGCCTCAGGCCAGCGTAGAGAAGCAAACACACCTGGCAGCGACGTGCGTCTGATGTAGTCATGCTACTCTCGGATCCCAAGCTCCGTGGACTCCGAACGGAACTAGAGCACCGAATTCCTGAAACTGTGTTCGAAATAGTCTAAAGTGATAGTATGAAGCTGTTTCCGTAGCGACGAGTGCCGCTGGTATTCACTACATATTTACATATCATGACTGGCTACGGGCGCTCACACTTCTGGCCCATAAAACACTGTGAAGAGAAAATTCACTCGCGAAGCGCCTCGGTCTTGGTGTAAAAGCCTCAAGAAGCTTATGCTGCAGGAGTGTCAGGGAAGACTCGGCCTTTTCCTGATCCGTGGAAGATTAGGGCAAGGGCATTTCCTAGCTTACCCGACATTGCTCCTTTCAATTCAAGAGGCTGTCTCTCTTGGTCAGCATCGTGCCCGCGATGACGTGATCCTGGCTCGAAGATGCAATCGGGAGGAAGAGGTGTTCGCTCACAGACTGACGGCCTCAAGGCACTCAACTGCATGCAGAAATCACGGGAGCCAACATGTACCACGCAGCATCCAGTCAGGATTTGGACTGTTTATCCAGGAATCTACAAGGTTCCTGGGTTGACCCGAAACTCGGTCCTAGTGGCCAAGCAGGACTACATGCCAACGGCGTGGCAGCATCTCTTCCGAAGTCCCAAGCAAGACGCAGCAAATTGTTACGGCCTGAATCAGACCCCGCAAAGGCTTTCCGGACGTTGGTACCAGGTACCTCGCGGCTGTAGACGGTATAGGTCTGCACTTGCCCCCCTATTCAACAATTCAAAGCTTAAGGCGGTTTCTTCGAAGCTTTCCCGCGCACTGCTGGTCCGCTTTCGCAATAGCCAAAGCTTCCATCCGGCTGATGGGGTCCTCGAGGAGGTTTCGACTTTCCTATCATGTGCACCCACCTCTTCCCGGTTGTGACCCTTTGATGTCCTGTGGAGCATGCAAGTTCATCTCATCTCCATCGAAGTCTGCATTGTAAGTATTGCAGTTTACCTCGGGCCCGGACATAAATCATACAGCGCTTCTGCGCCAGGGTGCTCGGGGTTTGCACTGGGACATGTTGATACAAGTACCATCCAGGCCCATGCAGTTTTGAGCTCTCTTCCGAGGGTGCTCCCTGCGCGACTCTGTCTGAAAGCTAGGTCCAGCGCGTAGTGAAGACGAATGGTCGCTTCCCTCCTCAAGACCTGCACAGGAAAGCAGCGAGCCATGATCATTGCAGCACGTCGCTCTTTCAGAATCCGAGGGGACTTTCTGTTACGCTAAGCCTTGCAGACTCTCGTAACCTGCGATCCTTCCAGCAATAAGTAAGTCACAACGGCCAAGCCTTGGCAGTGTGGGCCATGATGCCAGGTCTCAGCCAAAATGCAAACTCTGAACGAAGACATGGCAAGACATGTGATTTCGTACTCCAATACCCTACACCCTAAAACCCTCGAAACTCTGAGAATCGTCGTAAGGCGAGGACTTGTGCAAAGTTGGCTGGCGATTCACGAGGAGTGGGTCTCCTGGGTGGAGCGGCTTCTAGGACAGAGTTTGGGGGCATTGCACCTGCGGCTTAAGGTGGTGCCATGCGACAGAGTCCGGAGAGTGCTGAGGGGCACTTAGCCCTCGCGTGGGGAAGTCCTGGAGTTTTGGGCTGATACGGTTTAGGAGACAGCCCCTGCCTGAAGTCTTTCAGGCTACGAGGGTGATGCATTGAGCTCAGCTTTGGACCATCCATCAGGTGGCGGAACACCGTGTAAGGCGGCTTGCCCGACCTTTCTTCAAGTCTATCTCTTCAGGATGTGAGCTGTGCATGTGCTACATGACTCATCCTCAAGAGGCGCTCTGACAATCACGCTGAGGGTTTGGGCATGTGAGCCAAAATCTTTGAGCCTCCCGTGCTCCTCTCACCCACCTGTGGAATAACATAGGGGCCTAAATAATTACCAATACCATTGTGGGGGCTCCTCAAAATAATTGTAGCGTAATACTGGGCCCCAAAACCCTAGTCTAATTATTAAGGCCCCTATGTTACAGAAACCCATCATTGATCCCTTATAGAACCCCGTAAAGGAACCACAAAAGAAACCCTGTTCAAATTATGAAGGCCCCAGTAGTATAGACTCCCTGGTGCTTAGTAGGGAATGGGGGAATGGGTCATTGGGACTACTATAGGGATCCATTCCCCCATTCCCTACTAAAAAACAAACCCCTTAAATGAACTCAACATGAACCCTCTAAAAGAAACCCTATTTTTAAGATAATTAGGGCCCCTGTAGTGTAGAGGTAGGATTAAGGAGAACTGAGCAAAGCTTCCGGCTTGAGCTCGGTGAGCAGCTGCTTGGCAAGGGCTTTCCTGTCTTCCTCCGCAGATATGGTTACTTCAATAATTACATTATAAATATATATATATATATATATACGGAGAGATATTTAGAAATATTCAGATATTTAAATGGATATATGGTAATATGATGTATGCGATATAATTACTTCAAGAGCTACCGACTCAAGCGCATGTTCGATGCATGCTCACGGCCTCCGATAAGCGTCTCAATCCCGTAACAGTCTTGCTTCCATCCCCCTTGGGAATGTGTACCTGCCGGCAAGTACGATGGCGGGCAGATGGCTTTTCCTGCAGTTCATGTATGGTCATGTACCCTGAGCATGAGATGCCTGGCCTCGTGTGCTCCAGGATATACATCGCCACGCAGCACTAAGTTGCGCAGCCACTCGACATTGAACGGGGTGACAACCTCGCAGAGCAAGAACCAAATATACCCATGTTCCAAGCTGTCATCTCCTGCAAACAACCCAGCATCTTGAAATTATGCCATGCGTGCCTTAAGGGCTCCCTGTAGGTACACCCTACATTCATATATTAAAGAGGGCCCAATAAGAGCATGATTTGGGAAACTTCTCTGTGCAAATAGGGACTACAAGGGAATATCATTGGTAGTTGTCCAGACCGAGATCTTAACCTGAAGCCTACCCAGGAAACACAAAAGCCATGTTTTTGAAGCAGCCAGTAAGGGACATTATGGCATTGGAAGGGGTCTTATGTCATAGTGTTGTACCCCGAAGCGGCAATCGGGCTCTGTGTGTAAACCCTGCGACCTCTGGGTAGTAGAGGTTCGACGCAATCTCCACTGGCACACCGATCCTGGGCATCTGAGGCGCTCAGGCTTTGACAGCTGTTTGGCATCAAACATTATGCTTTCGTCTTCTTTGGTCGTGTTTGGTTGAAGCAAAGGCCGGGAGTCCGCTACAATGAAGCTATTCTCCTGTCTCCTGCGTACACGTCGTACCTAACATGATGGCAACTCCCGCGCATACGGGAGATTGAACACTCCTCCGCACCACAGGAGCCTGGGCCTCAGCCTCAGTACGCCCTGTGTTTACTCAGCTTCGCACTCTGAAGGCTCGATGTTCGGGTCGGGCGATATGACGGACCGAGCGGCAAAGTTCACACCTCAGTCCCGGAACAGATGGAGACTTCTGGCCTTGGGGTTTGGGAACACTTGGAAGCGATACAATGGCAAAAGCAACCAAAACACTGCAGCGTTGTGATTTCTTGCTGCAGCGAGGACGTTCCATCGCCGGCAGGCTACATGCTACGGCTACTGGAATGAAGTGTCTGGGCTGCTGACGCTTCCCCATCATCTTCATTCCTTAGCATCGCGTGTCAGCTGACGCAGGAAAGTTCCATAGGCAAGCTGACATCAAAAGCAGGAAAGGCATGCGTGCTACATTGCGGTACCATAACAATCCTTATTTACATCTCTCATCTGTCGTCTACCATCATCATCATCATCGTCATGATCACCATCATCAGCAGGAGCAGCAGAAGAGCCCCGGTCACCATTATCACACATGGACTTCATCATCGTATCCTGCGTCTTGATAGCCTCCGTCACCGTAGTAGTGTTCGAAGTAGTAGGAGTAGAAGTCGGCAGTGGGAGTAGTAGTGGTGGTAGTCGTGGTGATGGTGGTGGTCGTGGTTGTGGTGGTGGTGGTGGTGGTGGTTGTAGGTCGTAGTCCTAGTCGTAGTAGTAGTCGTACTAGCAGCAGTAGTAGTAGTAGTAGTAGCAGCAGCAGCAGCAGCAGTAGAAGGATGGAGTAGGACTAGTAGTCGGAGTAGGAGTACTAGTGGGACTAGGAGGAGGAGTAGGAGGAGAAGCAGCAGCAGCAGTAGCAGTAGCAGTAGCAGCAGCAGCAGCAGGAGCAGGAGCAGGAGCAGGAGCAGGAGCAGGAGCAGCTGTTGTCCTTGTTGCTTCAGAATAATGCCGGAGTAGTGGCAGCAGTAATAGCAGCTGCAGGGAATATCAATCTTGTGCAACGGCAACAACAACAACTACTACTACTACTACTAGTACTACTACTCCCGCCACCTTTTCCCACTGCTTCTGCTACTGTCATCACTACTCCCACCATTGTCACTGCCACCAAACCAGCTCAAACAACCTCTGCCGCCACCACGACCACAAGTACTGCACGTAGAGTACTCAACAACAGCACCACACACATGGCACTCGGCTCTACCAGTACCATGAAAAGCAGCGCTTTGACTGCTGCCTGGCTGCGGAACAAGCCTTCCTTCTTCTCAAGAAGCTGCCTTACTCCGTCCTCAGAGAGCTTGGCATTTCTGCCGCCTTGGCGCGAGGAGTCTAAAGCCCTAATACAGTAATTGCGAGAAAGTTGCTCAATGCGGAGGAGTAACATAGGGGCCAAAATAATCAGCACAGAATCTAGTGGTATGTTCTAGTACGATCTCTCTTCTTCTTCCCGCACTCGATTTCTTCATGTCTGCCCTTATCTTGAAGCTCCAATGGCCCGAAGTCCAAGCGAATAATCTTGGACGCCTTTGGACTTGAAACCATCGCAGCTTAAAGCCCTGAAGCCGTATGACCCTTTAAGCAGATAAGTCACAAACCTTCTTGGTCCCGAAGTCAAGCTCCCACACACTGTAGGGAGAAGCAGAATGTCAAACGAATCCAGGAGCCCGGCTCTTCATCCTGTCCATGAGGGAGTTGACGGCAATCCTCAAAGTGGGTTGGCAGGAATGGGGGGGCGGGCTTCGTCGCGGAGACCACGCAGGTCATCTAGCAAGTGGGCTTCGGCAGTACTGTACAAGGGCTGCTCCGTCATAGTCCGAAGTGCAATTCGCAAGGCCGACAGCTGCTCATCGAGGCACCTATGGTAGACCCCACTTTCTTATTGAAGTTCCTGAGTTGACTCCGGGCTTTCTGAGGCAGCCGCTGCAACTCGCGTATTGCTTGGTGTAGCTCCAGCTTCGGCGCATCCTTGCCGGCGCCCTGCCAACGGTCTACAGTCAGATAAAGGCCTACAAGCAGACGCAGTAAGCAGACGCTTGCTCCCAAGACTTCCCGTAAACACCTTCACATTGCTGCCTTGTTGCATTGCCGCATGGTACACAGACGCATGCAGTCATCCGGAGCATCTCCCGGACTCCTACCTTCCCTGCAAGCTTCTCCTTTGCCGCGGCTGGCGACACCGTTTCCTGTACCTGCGAGGACTGAAATGTTCAGTTGAAGCCTTGTAGGCTCCGGGCAGATTCAGACGGCTGTGTGCGCAGAAGAGCTGCTACCAGGCAAGGATCGGGCTCCTTGCCTGCTGGTTGGCTAGGAGAATGCCTGGCAGACGGCTGAGACCGAGCTTGTCTCTTCAGGCCCTCTTACATACAATGTACAATGTATGTACAATATGTCATATACACCAAACGGTCGGATTCGATCTGAGGCCTCCCGTGCTGTTTCATGCTCGCTGCTAGGAAACATAGGACACTCGGAGCTTTTTCTCCAAATTTCACAAACCAGAAGGCGGGTCCTTTAGCACAGTGAGCCAGCTTCATGTTCTGAGCCCGGTGCCTTTGAAGTGCGCAGTGTGGCGATGGAGAGTAAAGCTGTTGTCGTTCTCCTTGCCTCAGTTTCGCAATGCAGAAGAGGCGAGATCGTGCTCGGTCAAGAATGCAGTGCTTCCCTGATGCCACAGAAGGCGAATCAACTTCGCCGTTATCCTGCTCGCACGTGGGATTCCCCAGACATCTGTCGCGGCAGAGATTCAGTCAAGACTGGCTCTGCCTCCAAGACCTCTGTAAAGCCATTGGCAACATCCAGTACTGCAAACACTGCGTTCCTGCGGCGATGAATGCTTATGCATTCCCAGCAGATCATGTGTACACTGCCGAACTCGAGGACTTGCGGTCGCTCGAGCATCTTGCAGTCATTGCTGCCTTCGAGTGAATATACGTACAGCTTAGCAGTGCTTGCGTGTAGCGCCTGAGTGTACACCCTTCTTAGGTCGCACATGGAAACAAACTCCGATAGGAACCATTAGAGGACTGAAGCCCAAAGCCTTAGGGCCCAGGCTCTTTTTGGGAGGCCGGAAGCGGGTTGGAGGGACCAGAAGCCGCTCTAGGAAGAAGGCCTCATTGGGGTTGAAGGTATTAGGGTTTAGGGTTTGGGGAGGGTTTGGGGACACGTTGGGCGGGTTTAGAGTTTAGGGTTTAAGTTGGGTTTGGGATTATAGGTGAGGGCTTCCGAGATCCAGGGCTGGGAGTTGCTTAGGGTTGGTGCTCGAAATCTTGCAGCAGGCTTTCCAGAAGGGCTCTGAAGATCGTGGTATGGTGTTGTGCACTAGGGGTCCCTCTAAGAGAGATGTGGCGTTCTGTTCCTACCTGGAGCGATCGTTGTTGAAAGGCTGGAAGATCTGAAGTCTGGCGTTTGGTGGATCACGGCGGAGTATTGAATTTGGACCCCGATGCACTGTCACACGGATCCATCCGTGTTTTGTTTATTCTTGGGACCACTTTTTCCGAAGTATCATGTCGATACCAAGGCCCTGTCGTTTTTGCAAGATCTGGACCGTCTGAGGTTCCCGACATCAGGCCCAATCTCCTTTGCTGCCGGAGCCAGAAACCTGGCAAGCAGAAGCCGGATGAGCTTCATCACGACTTAGACGCTGCAGATGTGGAGACAGGTACCACCACCTCTTGCGCACGGAATTTTGAAGACCTTGAACCAACTTATGAGTTGCCCGCTCAGGCACTGAAAAAAGTACTGACTCACGAAATGTTCAATCTTGCTGGATCCCGTTATCTTTGGAACAGCTCTGCCACGACTTTCCAGACACAGCTTGGGAGCATGGGAAGGCTGCGAAGGCAAGGTCTACTGACCTACCGCAGGACGTGGACTGCTTTCTGCATTTGTAGGTCTCCAGCTGGCATGCGTTGAATACCTCGTACGTCGTCTTGCACTATACGATGCCACTTCTTCCGTAGAGACACCTTAGACACTGCAGTTCCTTCGATCCTCGCTGCGCAACCTTTTTCTTCTCGTTGCTGATGGCGTGGTATCCTCTAGGCATGGACACTGTGGGAGATGCCCCAAAAGACCGACACAGCGTGAGGGCTCGCATTTCACAGCATATGGCTGATCATTGCGGTGAACAAACCACATCGCATCTCCCGTTCCAGCACTATTGTTCACTATTCGCGTGTATTCTTATCTTCCTTTGCATGGCTACGATCTAAATTCATGCCCGACCTGCTCAGCCTGCCAGCGTTCAGGGCTTTCAGCCGTCGCTGGCAGGCTGAAGCCAGTGCTCAATGTCGTGGGGTGTTGACATCCACAACACACGCTAACTGAGACTGCATGGGAAAGAAGAAGCGGCTTTAAGCAGTGTGCAGTGCTTGTTCGTTCCATCCCCACGGCTACTCGTTCTATGCCTGCACGGCACGTAGCTGTGGGATCCACTCCCAGTGGCCAGTGGCCGCACCGCATGAAGCTGAGCTTGGATTGAAATCTGTGGGAGGAACTGGCTGGCCACTACTTTGCCTGATTGGCCATGTGACAAGAAGCAATTCACTCTTGGAAGCTCTACTGTTTCCTCGCATGGCGCAGACACGCTCCTCCCCGTGCTGTCCACAGGGCCTGAAACGAGCTTTGAGCTAGGTTCATGGAGGAGTGGCTCTTCACAGTCAGAGACCAGACCATATCGCTTAGGCTCGCTTCAGACACGTAAGGCAAGCATACCCATATCGGGGTATGCAGCCACATCCAAGTGGCAGGCAAGCTGTCCCACGCCCGTCTTGGTCTACGCAGGCACGTCGCCCACGAATTTGGAAGATCTGCCTTGCTTGCCAGCCTTGGAGCTACAGACCTGAATTGAATTATTCTAGTCAAGCCGATTACTTTCAATCTAGACACATGACTCGCCATAGTTTGGCACTTCAGCCCAGCACCCGGCGCAATGACTGGTAGGCGGCCGTTAATCCGAGCCCGGAGCCGATACAAAGGCTGAAGACTCCGACAACGAAGTGGAACGACCACGGGTAGTGCTCGTAGTGGTCATAGTTGTTGCGCTTGTCCGGAGGAGAGACGTCGGAGGCTTCCTCTTCCCTGACTTTGCCGGTGAAGACCACAGTGCTCCTTTTGCCACTGTCAGGCTCATCAATGTGCATGCACATCTCGGAATCCTCCTCGTTCAATGTCATGGGCGGTATCTCTGGAATCGATGGAGTCGGCGAGAAGCGAGGAGAAGGACATGGTGACATCGGAGGGGAGCTCAGGGGAGAAGACAAGAGCCTCTCTCGGATACCTGAGCCGGGGCCCTCGATCAGACATCGTTCCTTCCCCGCCCTATGCCTGAGAATCAAGATCATGACCACCGGCATGATGAAGGTCCACAGCACCGAGCCGAATCCCGTAGCGATGCCCACGATGGCGGTCACGGACGGAAAGACCACGGCCAAGCTTGCCGCGGCCGACAGGATGCCTCAGGACTATAGTAAACCCCATAAAGTTGGAAACCGGATTAAGGCCAAATAGTGCTGGGATTCCCTATATTACTCTTGAGGATTGAGGCTATGGGGTTTCCAACTTTTGGGCTTTTACTGTAACCCCCCTGAAGTAGAAGAAGTACACCGGTCCACTTGTTCGTTCTGAAACCCTGGACTGCGACGGAATTGAGCCGCCTTTTCTGCAGCGGTTGCAGCTCTGAGCGTGACAAATGGCATCAAACACTAATGAGTACAATGATCTACAATGGTAATAGTTGTAGCAGCTGCTGGTAATAATGGCGGTGCCAGGAGCTCTGGTGGCAGCAGCAGCAGCAGCAGCAGTGGGGCCTGGCAGTCACGATGACGATGCTGCCTTCTGCTGATGGTTTGGCAGTCTGGTGTAGAAACAGTGGTGGCAGACTGGCTGTAATAGGAGGATGAAGCATCATCCCGACAGTGGCAGTGGACCCCAATCGCAGACGAGGGGCATGCCGTGTGCACCACGCGCATGGTGCTGCTCACCGGTCCAGCTGTGCTATGTGCTCGCGAAACGGGAACTGACTGGAGCGGCCTAGGCCGCCCCAGCAGCATGAGCACGCCGTTCCTGACGGAATCACTTCAACAAACAAACGCCCCATCACTTCCAGAAAGCATTCCCACGCCCTAAGCCCTGAGCCCCCTCCCCAAAAAAGAATCCCATCAGAAGGTTTCTTGAGCTGAAAACACGCAGAGGTTCCTGCAGAAGCGGGCCAGGGCTTGGAAAAGCGCTCTCCAGGCCCGGAGGACTTCCGGGAACTGATCTCGGGCTGGCTGCACACCCAAGGGAAGGGCAACAAGCAGGGAGCAGCCCGTCAAGAGCTGCGCCAAGGATGCCGCTTGGTGGTCCTTGGGGTAGGCCAGAAGGATGTTCTCCGGGGTTGCGGCTCCATGGGCGACGATCCCGCAAGATGCCACCACTGCATACATCACCGAGAGTGCTGTGCAAGACCTAAGAAGAACCTTGTTGACTCGGCGACTGTCGGAGTTGTGAAGCTGCCTGTAGACGGGAATCGCCACATGCTGGCAGTACAAGGCACTAAGAACGATAGACCAAGTCTGGGGGAGAACATGCAGCGTGCTGGTCCCCCGGCCGTGCATGATGACCTGCATATGCTCATCCCCCGGCTTCGGGCCGCCAAGTGCTCCGCTCACCACGAGTGTGGCCATAAAGGCTAGGCTGAAGAAGGAGATCATCGTGACGTGGCGGAGGACACTCAAGTCACGACATGCAGATGCTGGAAATGCAAGGCACACCACAATCATCGCCATCCGCGGCTTCGAGAAACCACCGAAAACGGAAGGAAGGACACGGGGCAGGAGGTCTGAGAGGAACTTGATGAAGGATGCCTGTCCACACAAGGCTTCCCCAACCATCAGACAGGCAAGCGCTCGACCGGCCGATGGGCCAAGCACGGCGGCGGCACTCTTGGCGTAGCTGTCGCAGCCAGTTATGTGCGATATGGTCATTATGAGCCGCAGGGACGTCGCCAAGCAATAGGTCCCGAAAAACAGCGTCAGCAATCCCAGAGGGAGCCCTACGAGACTGAAAGCATAAGGCAGCAGAAGCACCCCAGATCCAATGGCCGCCGACATCAATGTGAAGATGGAGCCCCTCAACGATCCACGTCTCATGGGTCCCAGGGTTCTTCGAACCCATGTGGGAGACTGCGAGCGATCCTGTGCCGTCATGGCCGGATCCGGATGCGCGCAATCTTTACAACTAGGAAGTCTCTTGTTACATCTGCGTGTCAAGGGCTGACAGGACCGGGCTAACTCCTGTATTCTGATAAACTGATAGAGGGATGCCCGAGAGCCAGACCAAATTACGGAGCACGGCTCTTGCTGTTGCATGCAGTTTGGGCTCTCCAAAAGAACTTAACATGCTGCGATTGCTGCAGTCTAGCGATTAATTAGTACGCCTCTCCTGATGGCAGCTAAGCCTGCCTTGAATGCTGTCATCGCCCTAAGAAGTACGTATCGGCTTGAACCTTGCACGCCAAGTGCGGCGCAGTCGGGCATAAATACATGAGGTGTTCCTCAGAACGTGTCGATTCCTCAGATCATCGATAGCATCCGCTCCAGGCCTCAAAGCTCTGGCTTCGTTCTTCCAGAGGTTCCTGAAGTGCACTCGGTGGATTGCGGGGCATGCTGACCTCGACCTACGGCATCTGCAGCTTGCACAAGGATAGTGTATCTTTAGATGTCTTACTGGATCAACTAGTGTAAGCTGTTTACAAGGAGCCCACATTTCAAGGGACCCCTGTTGTATTGAGTGTGCCAGAAACCCGACATGGGACCGAAGACGGACGTGCCTCAGCAAGTCCCGCGTGTACTCTGGAATGGCCAACTGCTCCTGACTCGCGAAAGGCGCGTCCTTAGACCTAGGACTTTGACAGGGATCCCCGTATTCATGCCCATAAACCGAGGGAGCTTAATTACTAGTCGCAGCGACATCAACTCTCCAAACTGGCCCCAAGCCCGTTTATCGGATGCCGAAGAAGTTGTCGCAGCAAAATACGGCAACAAGTGGTGACAGGAATTCCAAAGCACACCCCTAACTCGCCGGAGCATGTGATGGTAGTCGTGATCACTGGGATGCTGCTGGTACTATGGGCGTTAAGATCGGCGTTTTTGAGTCAGGGCTCTGCATTACGCAGAAATGTCCAGTCGGAGTTTCCGCAACCCATCCTTGCCGCCTTTCTGGGTGACGAACATAGCTTCGAAACCTTCCCTGCGCCACTTGGCATGCGCCTCAACATCAGTCAATTGGTGGTTCAGGGCAAGTTGAAAGCATCGGGATGTGACCGATTTCTGTTATAGGCCGTGGCTTCTTATGGCGAGGCATTAAGGCTTTCATGTCCGTGTCTCTCTGTCGCTCCCTCTCTCTCTTTGTCTCTCTATCTCTTTCTTTCTCGGTTCTACAACTTTCTTTCTTTCTTTCGCAAGGGTGAGGTAAGAGGAAGGGCGGGAACGGGCCCCACCTCCATGCGCCAGTCGCCCCCATACGGTAGGGTGAAGCACTCAGCGACAATGCAACCGCTGCGGATTCGCGACACCCAGATCGCACCAAATAAAATTCAGGTATCGCAACAAGGTGTGCCGTTGGATGTAGCGACCGTAAGCCCCCGGGCCATTGGCCCCGGCCGCTCCTGGCTTTCCTTCAAGCATTTTTTTCTTCCTCTCCAGAGCTTCAGCGCAGAGACTCTCACCCTCCCTACCTTCCTCCCTCGCTCTCCCACGCCCTCTCTCGCGCTCGATCGCTCTTATATCATTCAATATGTGCGTATCTTAAGAAAGCGCTCCTGACAGTTAAGTATGGAGTCTCCTTTGTATAGGCAACATCTCGACCTTTGAACAAGGAGACGTCCGAATATCAACCAGAGGAGAGCCCGTTCGACAACAAAAGAAAGCAACCCATAATCCGGATAAGTTTCTTGTGAACACCATCAAAGGCCATATGAGACAACACCCGAAATCCTTATACACACACACACACACATACATCTTTACAATGTTTCTGTGTATATATGTATAGAACCCTTAGAAGGCCCGTACAACCCGAATATATAGTTGCCTTAGTGCTTAGAATATGGTTACCTTTAGGGTTTTCGACTCATTTAACAAGGAGCCGTAAGGAAGGGTATTGGAAACGCCCTGAAAGTGCTGGCCGCCTGGCAGCGTGCACAGCTGGCGGGGAGGCTGGTGTTGAAGTCTCGAATCACCTCGGTGCTTTTGGATTTAGGTCGTCGGGGTTAAGGGTTTAGGGAGTCCAGGGTTGAGGGTTCGGGGAGGTTTGAGGGTTAAGAACTGGGGATCCACAGTGGACTAGAACCGGCGTTTCGCACGGCACCCTTCCATCGCCATGTGTTCGGCATCACACCACCCCCTGTCATGAACTATCCAGAACCCCTTGTCAATTCTCGGTTTGCTATGTGTACATGTCCTTTTGATGTGGTCATTTCTGTTCATTGATGCTGCCGATCTTCAATTTGTGTGCTTCAGTGATCCGAACCAAGTCGACAGGACTGAAGCAATGCAGGGTGCAAGCAAGCTTGAACGTGGGCGGCTTTCTGTCTCCCCACGCCGTGCCCGGCGGCAAAATAATCGCAACTCATGTCTTTTATTTCGTCCTCAACTCGTTACACGGCACGACTTCTCTGTCTTTTTATGCTTTTGTCACAAACTAGATGTCTCCAAACAATCCTGCGCAGGGGTGCCTGTAGAGATGCTCTGCCGGTCTGGTGTAGGGCGTCCATATATAGATATGTTACTGTCTTGCTACTTTTTGTGCAGATTCGGATCTGGAAGCATGGAAGGGGTTGTAGAGGTTTTGAGGCTTGTGTACGGCCCAGCGTCTTCCCCGGCAAGAAGGCCTAGGGTTGAGGACAGCTCTCTGAACTCAAATCTGGTCGCATTCTTGACTAACTGCACGGCACTCTCATAATTAATGAGGGCCCTAGAAGGGATCCTGATTTAGCGAACCACCCATCGGGGGTTCATATTCCGAAACCTTGAAAGGAAGAACATTACCGGTTATGCCGACTCCTGTTTGATTCATCGGGAGTCCGGCTTGCCGAATGGCCTCCAGCGAGCTGGACACCTTCCGAGACGCAGGATGATGGCGATGGCGCTGATGGCGCCGATGATGACCAATAGCATTACATCGCTATACCTTTTTTCCTGTAATGATCCGTTATCATGGTTCTTGTGTCTTTTGATTACACTGTGCATGCAGACCCTGCAGTAAAAATCAGGCTCCATGATAATGATGGTGAAAACGGATTTCCATCATGGTCGTCACCACCGTGATCCCCAACACCTGAGTCATCGTGCAGCATCACAGTGTCCATCATCAACGCCATCACTTCCGCGGAAGAATCGCAGACGGGAGCTGCCATTGTTGGGACAAACTTCACCAGCACCTGCATGACGCGAGTTCTCTGTGGGCTGGGCAGTTCATGCTGGCTGCGTAGACCAGGCCCCAACAAATGCTCACAAATAACACAAAGACCCAAATCCAGGTGTAGCAAGCGCGGCCATTTCTGTCCGGAGCCTGGGGTCCGTGAGCACCGTTGCTCTGACCGGCGCGCGCAGCGGCTGCGGCAGCATCCTAGAGTGCTACGTCTCTTGGCTTCGATCTAGAGTCGTTGTTGACTTACAAAAGTAAAGGCTAATCACTTGACATAAATGTTCCAGGCACATCCTAATCACACAACCATCAGAGCAACACTCATTCATGATCGGCGCCACGTACCAGTAATGGAATCAGACCGGAGCGCAGTGCTCCGCCCTAAGACTCTGTACATCTCTGAACTCTAGAGCTTTACGTACTTCCCATTGGCCTATAGACCCTCAACTTAACCCTAAATCCTAAAGCTCGAATCCCTCAAGACCAAAAAGCCAGCTGTGGTCCTGCTCTGCTCTTTTGGCATCAAGGGTGGCTACCATTTTTTCTGCTGCCTTCAAGACTTCGGAGCTTAGGGATTCGGGGTTGGCTTTTCGGTTGAAGGGTCAGAAGGTTGAGGAGTTTTCCGGTTTCGTGGTCTCAAGGATGTGCACGCTGGCCCACCTGCTTCGTCTGCTTGAGATCTTGAGCTTTCCTTACCTCCCTGGTCGTCGTGGTACCTGGCCGATGTGAAGCTCTGGCAACCCTGAACCCTAAACTAAGCCTGAGCAGCCAATGAGCGCTGGAATGCAAGGAGACATCCTAGACCAGGGGCTTCACAGCTCTGCATGCTCACACCAGCCCAGCCAGATGTCCTTTGTCTGGGATTTTCCAAAGAGCTCGCCCTAAAACCCTAAAGCCCTGAAGCCCTAAACAGAGCCCGACCGTCTCTGGTGATCTCCTCCACCCGGAAGACGATGTCTGCAGGATCTGGGCTGATCTCTGAGAGAAGCCCAGGCCTGGGATGTGGGGAATCTGCTGAAAAAGCCGTCCACAGGGTATAGGGGCTCCACATCAAGCTGCTTGGGTCGAGGGTGAGGGTTGCAAGTCGGGTTGTAGGGTGAAAGTTTTAGGGGCTTCAAGGCTTCAGGGCTTCGCGTGTGTCCGTCTTCCAAAGTTTCGGGGCCGGCCTTGCTGTTTTCGTTTCAGCAAACAAGGATTCAATGTTGGCAGCAAGGCGAAGGAGCCACAGGTGAATAGAGGGTCGTCTAGGAACGAAGAAAAAGCTTCTGGGCTTCTTGTACGATGATCCTGCACATCTACAGGATGGTGCGAACTGAGATTGCAAGCTATTAACGGCCCCCATACGCAAACTGATCTGAGTGCCGCTCTTGGAAGCTGCTTGGTACCTCGGTTCGGGGATCTCCCCGGGAGAGAGTTGTTCCAGCTGGCGCACCTGACCGACGGGTCCCGCAACGAGAGTGATGATACTTGGAGCTGGAATGACGATCTTTGCGCTTATGACAGAAACTGCTGGCAGATGACGCAGCTTTCGGCGGATCAGTTGAAGAACAACATCCAACTCAGCCGTGAGCCAGCCTGTGTGACGATTGGATCTGCTGCGTCGCCGGAAGATGCCGAAATCGCACATGCACTCAACACAAACTACAGTAGCTCGCAGGTGTATTTGAGGCCGTGGCAAAGGCATCTGTGACTGCCTGGCCACAGGTAGAACGGCAAACAAAGCCACCAAACAGCAACAACAACTACTGCAACAACTAGAACAGTACAAACGGCAGCAGCAATAGCCAACAACAAAAACAACACCGGCCATCTGCTAAGCCTAACGCGACACTGATACCAGCATTTCAAGAGGTCGGCGAAAGACGACGCACGCCCTTGGCGAGATAATTGCGCTCGGAGTCTGATTCTGCCAGGCCTCCCTGCACTTGAACTTGTGGCACTTCTGGCACGTCCTTGGGTCAGTGTGGCAGAGTGAGAAGAGGCTGTGCACTTTGTTTCAAGTTTTATCGTCTATATTGCTTCGAAGCCCAGGACGTAATAACTGGAGTTGCAACCCTCTCCACCATGATGGGCTCCAAGCTGACGCAGCAGCTGCATCAAGTTGTTCATCATGAAAGGGTTGAACAACCTGGCAAAGCACTGAGATGATCCAGGCATTTGTCACAAGGCTGTGTACACAACCCTCTTTGCTTTACGGTCGGCATAGATCCTCAGAACATGTCTGATCAGTGTAGGGCCCTAGCGGAGCAGCCAGCTGGATATGCCTCAGCGACTGGGAGAGCCCCAAACCCCAAATCCTAAACCCTCGCGCTTTGAGCCGCGACCCTATACTTAAGTCTGGAGTGCCGATGAGATCGCATGTGTTTGGTCTTCAGAGTGTTGCACTGTCGACAAACTCCAACCGCAATCGTGGCCCAGCGTGCATGTACTCTCAATACAATCTAGAAGTGCATCACACGCGGAGAACACTCTTGGCTAGATACCAACTGACGGCCCTATCAAGATCCCCTGAAGCCCGAAGCCCTGACCTGAAATCCTGTACCCTAAACCCCCCCTATACCTTAAACCCTATAAGCCTTACATCCTAAACTGCTCCGAGCAAAAGGATCCGAGGACTGGTCCCCAAGTGTCCAGGACAGTCCTTGTCCAGGCCGCAAGTCTGACAGACCATGGGGCCTCGGGCATTTAAGATTAATGGTGCAAAATGTATGTAAATTTATGTATGCATGCATGTATATATATATATATATATGTACATACGTGCATACATACATAATATATGCATATTATATATATATATATATATATATATATATATATATATATATATATATCTTTTATTCATACATATACATATACATATATATATATATATATATGTCATATGTATGCATAACAGTCTGTTATGTGCAGAAAATACAAATACTGATTATTTACATGTATAGATATATAAAATTATATGTATGTGTGTATTTATGCATGTATGCACACGGAATGTCTGTCATATGCCAAAAGCATGTAATATACATATGTGAGTCATATGCCAAAAGCATGTAGTATACATTAAGTACTGTAGATTAACAAGTGTATATATCAATACAAATGTGTATACATATATATATATATATACAGATAGAAGCAGAGCAATACACGCACATATATATATATATATATACATGTATGAGTATTATTGTCATATCTTCCGTAGTACATACTACATATGAAATGCAAGCCATTATGTTTTAGTGTGTACTGCGTCTCTGTAAACATACATGTCTAATTCAGAACTTTGTATTACTTGGTGTATTCGATATACTTTGAGACATGTATTCTACGTGACACGCCAGGCTATCTATTTTGTACTGTACATTATGCTTTGTATGTTGCCTGCTATGTAGTATGTTTGCATATATACACATAGTGCATGTGCTATATATACAGTGTTTAGTACAGACTATAGCGTACATTTTATGTATTACAAGCATTATATGCTGCATGCTATGTACTGTACAGCATGAAAACATCATAAAACATCTCCGGCATATCTTACTCGTATGAAGCATGCAGTGAATGCACCATAAATCGCCGATCCAATAGCATGGGGCATGGAGTACATAGTATATCGTATATAAAACATTGCATATAGTATATTGTACATGCTATAAAGCACATGCTACAGCTTTTCTACTGCAATTATTTCCTCGCACTTCAAACCGCATGTACCACGTACTAGCTGCGATGCAAGCTTTACTATGCACTTTACATTCAGCATTGGAAATGTTACATATGTTAAGCATTCTGAACACTGCATACTTTTCAAACTGTACATATTGGACAGTGCAAACTCTGTCTTGTATTTTAGATATGCAATATATGATGTGGCGATTTGGGCACGGTCTAGCTTCATGGTACATGTTATACATTACATACGACTCATAGTTCAACATCGGCTGTAAGTTCATGTTGCACTATATACTTATAGATCTGTATGTATACACACATACATATACATACCTATTTATGCTGGTATCATCGCTGTATACTGTATACAAATGTTTTCAAGTATATACATGTATGTATATATATGTATATATATATATATATATGTATTCGTGCCGAAGTTTAATCTGTATATGCATATATATATATATACACACACATTTCTCCGTATATGTTATATGCTTTGTATGTTACATTCGAGACTGTGCAATGATTTGAAAAAGGGAATGCCAGGACTCGGATGTGTGGGATTTCGTCCCCAGCTGGTCTTCGGCCCCGTGCACTGGAGAGTGCTCTCAGGAGGGCACTGTGCTTGCTGTCGGCAATTGGGCCCATTTCTAACCTTGGTGATCAAGAATTTTAAAAGGCACTGTTACAACTATATACCACCCCTTACAGCAAGCCGTATAACCCCGGAAGGCGTGTAGGCCAAACTTCCGCTGATTAGGTACACAAACAAAACTAAACCTTTTCGCTAGATTCACTAGGTACTGTCAGAAGGGGTGCTGGAATTAGGGGTTCATTCCAGGGTTTAGGGATTCCAGTCGTGGCGAAGGCCATGGTGATTTCCGCATCCGCAGTAGGTTCCCTGCGAATGAAGCCCGCCTCGAACGGGAACCTCGGTAGAAACATTCCCGTTGCTCAGCAAAGTCTACGCGCTCACCAAAACTTGCACGCGAAACCCTAGCCCCCGAACCCTCGAAAGTGCCAAAACTTCCCAAAGCCCACAGAAACTTCGAGCCCCCAGTTCTGTCCCCGGGGAGCCCTCAAGCTTTCAAAACTCAGCGGGAAGGGTTTCGGCTGGACATCACGACCAAGGCAGAAGCACCCCATTCATCGAAGGTGGAGACATCGTTCACCTGCCATGAGACCAGAAAGGCGTTAAGTGCACTACGAGGTCTACGATTAGGGATAGCCTAAGTGCTGCCATAAAGGATACTGTTTTTATCACGCCATCCTCTTTCCTGAGGGATACTTCTTCGGCGAAGAAGGCACGACTGCTGCGAGGTCCCGGAGCATTTAAGCCTCTCTGTTGCTCCTGGGTGGAGTATGGTATAGCTTGTCATGATCGAGAGCTCAGGGAGGAAATGACGGTGCCTCCACAGTGCTCAGCGACTTGATCTCCTGCTCTGCGTACCGTGGGAGCTGCGCTTGAAACAGCTATGAGGCGCTGTCGCGGAACCGCTGTACTGACATGGCACTCTCAACAAGAAACCCTGGTCCTCCGGCGAAAAGTACATGAATCGCACCTGTGTGGCCTCACACCAGCAGGGAGTCCGAACAGGATATGATGAACCCCCTCAGCTCACGACGTAGAGGGCTTCCTTGGAACCAGTGGTTCCTTGTTCAGTGTCCTTCTGCTCTTAACGGTTTCGCTCGTAGACCCTGCTACCAACCCACATCTAGAGCCTGACGACCGAAGAAGCCTGGATCCTAAACGTTTGAAGTAAACCTGAAACACCCAATCCCAAAAGCCTGCATGTCAGCCCTGCAGAGTATAAACCCCAAGGGCCCTCGCCTCACCCTAAACCCTAAATCCTAAGGGCCCTCGCCTCGCGGCTGCACGAGGATCCTGAGAAGTCATAGGGCGTGGCATTCTCCATGGCTCCAGGGGAAGACCTCGAGCACGGCTCTTAAGTTAGATCTTGTCTTATTACATATAATCTTACTGTCATTATTACTACTATTAGGGTTCATTATTATTATTACTACTAATAATACTATTCTTCTTCTTCTTCTCCTCCTCCTCCTTCTTCTTCTTATTATCATTATATATACATATATATTATCTACTATGTATATCATGCTGGATATTTACTAGGTTGTATACCATACCAAGTATTGCATTATAGATGATAGCAACACAGGCTTTCGTTTTCATGGGGGTTTCTACAAAGTCTGAGAAAGTTCATGCTAGGGCCTGTTAAAAAGTTGTGTAGGGTCTTACCGGGCCTTTGTAGGCTTGATTTAGGGTTTTTACATGGATTCGGAGTTGTTCGGACTTTTAGGGCTCCAGGTGCGCGAAGTTCTCGCAGCCCGCGGATGATTTCAGACAGGTATAGCTTTGCTCCAGGTTTCGGCAGAGCCTGTGTGTATCACGCCACGGTCAGGGCGCTCGATGCGATCTGACGTTAATGCTGGGAACTCGACTGTGGCTCTCTCGCGGTAGAGGGTCACTGTTCGCTCAGCTTGACAGCCGTTTGGTATGGGCTTTGGGCGGAGGAGCATGCCACCTAGGGCGACGTGAGATGCTCGTGCATGGACGCGAGGACCTCGGGGCTCCTTCTTACACCTAAATTCCTAAATGTGGTGGCGTTCTTATTAATCTTTGTGGCCAGACGCATAGTTGGTGGCGCTGGCATGTGCTCGCGATGTCAAACATCTATTGAATCTACTGCAACACCAACACGCACACACACGCGCGCACGCACGCACACACACACACACACACACACACACACACACACACACACACACACACACACACACACACACACACACACACACACACACACACACACACACACACACACACACACACACACACACACACACACACACACACACACACACACACACACACACACACACACACACACACACACACACACACACCCACACACACACACACACACACACACACACACACACACACACACACACACACACACACACACACACACACACACACACACACACACACACACACACACACACACACACACACACACACACACACACACACACACACACACACACACACACACACACACACACACACACACACACACGCACGCCCACGCCCACGCCCACGCACACTCACACGCACACGCACACGCCCACGCACACTCACACGCACACGCACACGCGCACGCGCACACACACACACACACCCACCCACGCACACCCACCCACCCACCCACCCACCCACGCACCCACCCACCCACCCACCCACGCACCCACCCACCCACCCACCCACCCACCCACCCACCCACCCACCCACCCACGCACGCACGCACGCACGCACGCACGCACGCACGCACGCACGCACGCACACACGCACACGCACACGCACACCCACACACGCACACACACACACACACACACACACACACACACACACACACACACACACACACACACACACACACACACACACACGCACACACCCACACACACACACAGTGCTTGCGTAGTGAAGTTTCATCATCTCTTTTTCGCACAGGACCTCTACACGCGTGAGTGAATGAATCTAGAAGTCTGGGGCTTAGGTTAGGGGCCTTGGGATTTAAGGGTTTCGAGGTTAGGGGTTCCCGGTCTTGGACTTCCCTCGCCTTGTGTACTGTACACGTCGAAGCCATCAAAAGGGATTCGATTTCAAGCCCTTCTTGCAGCTGAGGGGCCAATGCCGTGCATCGGACAGCGGTGCAGTGCCATGCGACTTTGTTTCACCGCCCAAGCTTTGTTTGGTACTTGTAGCCTTGTAATGGACATTAATGGACTTGAAATGGCTGGCTTCGGTGGCAAATGAACTGTCTGTGTCTGAGCCAAGTCTGCTCGGTGCTGGGACTAAATGTGGTCAACTAAAACATGGAGCCATCGAAGCCGCATGCAGACTCTGCTGCCAATCGAAATCGTCGGTCGAAGGGCTCGCAGCCGGGAGGTTAAGCCTCATGTCTCCTCCGTGAGCCTGGAGTTTACAGTACGTCCCGTGTGGTCTCTCGCAGCTTTGGATTTTGCGTCCCACCGCAGCCGCATAGAAGAAACTCGAAGAAACACAGCTACTGGTGCTGGCTTTTCACCTGCAGCGTCTAGACACAAAATCCTGGATTAAGAGATTTTCGGCAGAAATGTCCGGTTCCCCAGATGTCCTCAGGGCAGCCTCCACGGGCCGCTGGAGCAGCATACATGACTTTGGTGAAGTCTCCAGCGCAGTTATTGGTTTTCTTCTTGCTCTTGAAAACCCACCCCGTCTCGACCACCTCACGTTTGCAACAGCAGCACGTGGCGGTCTGGGTCGCATGCGCGTGGATCTCTTCGAGGTGGCTCTGCTGCGAGGATGCACGGAAGTCTTCCGCTTTGCGAACAGCCGAGACGATGGAAAGGACGGAGCACAGACCAAGATGAAGCCTCATGGCGGATGGCGAAGTGGGCTCTGGATTTCACAAGTGAACGAATAACCCAGCAGCAAAGATTTCGCTGAGCGGCTGGAGCCAAAATGGCGCAAGCCATCTGACTGTGAGGCTACGAAACCGAGGCAGCTAATATGCAGGTTGCTGCAGGTTACTGAAACAGCGTTACCACAATTTGAAGGCACTTTTCCGAGGCAAAACCCAAGCGGCGGCCCGACAAGGCTGCATCGAGTTCACTGCTGGTGCCAGTATGCTCCCAGAGATACTTTTCCTTTTGCCCAGCCCTTCCTTAGAATGACTCACATGCCATTCTGTTTATAGTCTTCAACCGTTAAAACAGGATTTTACTGTATATCATTGCTTTCAGGGGCGATGAGATACGACTACATTGCTCACGGCCCTGTAAACTCATTCCAATCCTCACCCCAGAGCAGACTCTTTGCTAAGCTAGCTGCGCGTGCCCTCGTGTGCCCTCCACGCAGCACTGAGATTCTCCAAAGTTCAGCTCTCCCACTCTTCGGAGTTTTCCCAAATCGAGTTCGGGTTGGGATTCCTTGCAAGGACCGACAAGGAGCTACTTTTTGCTGCCGCCAGCTCTTCGGATCTCTTGCCTTGCCCTGCTTCTGCTGGCCTAGCATCGGCGTGGCAAAGAGGAGAAGAGCAAAGTGCATGCGTGGTCGCTTTGTGACGTACTTTGAATCAAAACCCCTAAGCCCTACACCCGCCCACGCCTAGATGCTTGCAGCCTGATCGAGCCGTCGGCCGAAGTGGCTGCTCGCTCTGCCGAGACCTCTTTCACAAAGGGTTTAGGAAAAGCTCTTGCAGGAGGGCTCCATGACTCTGTAAAGTTCACTTCCTCACTGGCCGAACACCCAAGGAAAAAAAAGTTGAAACTTTCAGAATCGAATACCTCTAAGAGCCCCAAAAGTTGAAAAGTTGAGTTTACAGCCAATAAGCTTCAACAGGGTTTGCAAAGATCTCAAGGCAGCTCTCACCCCCGAAATGCGCTTTGCTTGTGGCTCTTGGAAGATGTGGGAACGTGCAGACCCCTTGAAAAAGGTTTGAAAAAGAAGCATCCTGATACGGGGCCTGGCCGTACAGGGTTATTTTCGCGCGGGGCAAAAGCAGACCCCTCCCAACTCGACTTAGCTTCAACCCCTGGAGCCCGGATGTGATACACCGGCAACATATTATGGCTTAGGGACTTTGTGAGCTCCTTTTCGGGACCAGAATTCTAGAATCAATCCGGCATTTGTCTGGTCAAATGCACCTGAGCCCTGGAATCGTGAGATTCATAAGGCATAGCAATCGCACGAAAGCGACAATCAGCCTGAATCCCTAAAACCCCGAGACCCTCATAGCTGAGCGTCCATCTTCTACTGACGAAGAGTAAACAGCTGCCGGCCGGGAAGCTACGCTGAGGCTGCGATCGAGGTCTCTTCAGATCCTGGACAGAACGTGTTTTGAGATCTTGTCTCTTGCTTGCTTGGGAAGGGCCTTGATGCATGCCTTTTGCTTCGGCTCGCGCGCACGTGAACATCTCGGAACACGAGCTATTGAAGCGGCTTGAACCGAAGCCTGGGATCTGCAAACTCGCGGCCTTGAGTCCCTTGGCACTCAGAGCAGCAGGGCTTTGGCACGCCTCAGCCGTCCTGACAGCTTCTTATGACAAGTAAATACACTATATAGACTCAATATAAACCTATATAAATGCGACATCACTGAGGCGTTTCACTACACCATTACCGGAATCAACGACATCCGGGAACTTGGATGGTATGGCTGCAAGCTAGCGCTTAGCCGAAAGGAAGCTGGAGATAGCTGCAGTAAGCTTGAGCTGAGCTTCTGCGAGGTTTGCACTCAGTTCGCTTGTCAAGCTCTAGATCGACTCCCGACCTGACATGTAGATCTGTCGAACCACTGATTTCAAACGATGTACTAGTGCCGTGGCCTCCTGTCCTTGTAGTCCACAATCACCTCCGATTTCCGAGTGAACACCGAAAATCTCGTCGCTCTTGTCGATCAGTCCTGAGTCTGGCTCTTTCTTCTCATCCTGATTACTGGTACAGCTAATTGTACCATCCTGACTGTCACTATTGCTAGGCCAAAGTTCAAGACTCCGGCGGCCACCGAAGGGTCACGATTCTTTGGCGATGTCAAAAACGATGGGCGCATGGAGCAACCCGTCCTCGCCGCGGCGTGCTGCAGCTGAGGCTGCATTGATGAAGCATGTCTTCTTTGAGCGATGGATGCCGTAGCCTCGTCAGGGAAAAGTGCTCCGGATTTCGTATAGCAAGTTTCTCACATAGTTGACAATGGAGCTGAAGACTATGAGTCTCACACCCTATGCGCTTCTCTTCAATGAGCTGTAGACGAGTGGCTGCCATGCACGTGGCCGAAGACGTGAACCTTAGCAGAGATAGATGGCACGGACTTCTGTAGAGCAGTCTTGCCAGATGCATGTAGCTCCAGATACTCTCAGGCGCTTGCAGCCACATCTGTCCTTTGGCTGACTGCCTTGGCCAACTCTTCACAGCCTGACAGCTCAGGCAGCTGCGCAGACCCGGATTTCGGCCTGAGCTGGGGCGTGCACCGATAGACTGACCTTCTCGCCCGGCGTGGTCTGCGACGTCCAAAATGTTTGCGGGTGGGGTGTGCGTGAGGAGCACGTCAACACCAGTCGGGATTTTGGCCCACTCCTGCAAAGAGGGACTGCGAAGGGACTGCGGTAACACAACAAATGAATGCTCGGACTCTGTGTCATGCCTACATTCTTGGTCAATTGCCATGTTTCAATACCTGATCAGCAACTGCCAGGTACTGCTAGCAACCTATAAGCCATGGGTCCGCATATGTGGAGTGGTTGCTGCTCCTGACTCCCGCGATCCGATCCTGAGAGTTTAAAATGTCAGTTTTTGCTTTGTGCGAGTGCTTCCGTTTCCTTTCGCCCAGACGTCTGAAATCCCAGCAATGTGGGGAAGCCTGTTGGAAGTAGGAGCGTCAACATAGCCCGTGGTTCCAACGATGACATAAGGATTTTGCTTTACGGTTTACTTGTGCTCTAATCTGGTTTCAGCTTTCTGATCCCATCTCTGGCGGTTTTCTTGATCCTATGTCCATCCACCACTCCTGTCTTAAATGGCTAGGACAGCAATGACTGTGACAACGACGTCTGTGGCACCACGCCCAACCACACAAAAGAACAAAAGGATCAGAAACAACGCAGCATCGAGATCCAGCACGCAGTCCTCCTTCAATTCCACGCCGCGCCTCCGGGGAGTCATGCTAAAATCTAGAAAGGCACTGTCAAATCATCCAACAATCATATGAGATAGGGGGTTTCGGCGCATCATATGGTGCGTGTTGAAGCGAGGAGAACCACCACTTCGATATGGCAGAATATAGGCGTCGATACACATGAATGTATACATTGGGCTTGTCACAATGATGCGAAGCCTCCGAAATCGCCACTGGCAACCCACAGTCGCCTCTGCCAACTCTCCAAGCCTTTAGGGCTGCGTATTTACAAATCCTAACATCCGGGCCTGAACAATGTCGGGGTATGCTGTACTGTGTTTATGTTGAGCCTATATTCCAGGACTTTTACTTGGCATAACCTCCTGTTCTCCTTAACATCAAGAAAAAGCTTGTCGCCGCGCCTCAATCCAAATGCCATCGGTCGCCTTTGCTAGAGGGATTCAAGGTCACTGCATCCCAGTTTCAACACGGTCCATGTAATTGCGCACACGATGCTGTATCAGTATCAGCTTGTATTCCCAAGGACCTTGTATACATCGACGATGTCTGGCAGCTGCCCTACGGAGCCCCATAATCTACGCTCCCCAAACCTCGAAGCCTGAAATCTGGTTTGAAATCTCATCTAGAAACCCAGTGAAAAGCCTCAACCAAGACACAGTAAACCAGAAACCTATACGAGCTCTCTAATAGCTACACTGCTCTACGAGTAGAACCCCTGAGAGGCGTTAAACACCCCTAGCCCTGAACATCCCCAAACCGCCCCAATCCTTGCCACCCGGCTGCCGACCCTTGGGTTGACGCGGCTGCCAGGGGCTGCCGTAGAAGGAAACGCCGGAGATTCGAAGGGCGCGCCCAGATCCTGCCATGACCTGGTCAGTGCAGGCTCTAGTTTGAGGTCGTTTTAGGCCTCAGGGGTCTTATCAGAACCAGCTCTGGCCATTCCGAGATCCAGGCCGTGACTCCTGCCTCCTCCAGCATGGAGGCTACCCTCTCTGGCGACTGAAAGCTTTCGTGCCACACCTGTCGGCGTGAGGAAAGAAAGATCGCTCAGCGTCGGAACCGCACTCCCAGCCGATGGAAGCGATGTCCTTCCAGTGCTCTTGGTACCAGCTTTCGTCGCAGGTCAAATCGTGATTCCCACAGACCTTACTCAGCAATGTCTGATGCTTAGGCTACCAGCCGCGAATATGGATTTGCACTGTAAAGAAGAGCTTGCACGGCCCGAGGAGGTGGCCAGGAGCTTGTGTCGGAAGGGCTGGTGCGAAGCCCAACGACAGAAATCGGCGCACTCCTCGCACGTCGTGCAGTCCCGTTGGGGGTCACAGGAATAGTCGGTCCCACATGCATGTAATTACTTGTATCGAGCTTTCTTTCAATGCCCGTAGATCTTCCCAAGCCAAGCAGGTTCGGGCCATGCATTGCAAAAGAGGGCGATCGACACATTACCGCCCTCGAAGAATTTGCCCTGGCAGCTACCCCAATGAGCAGCGGCGTGGCAGATTTCGTTGACGGAAGTCCTCTTCGGTTCCCTCGTTGCTGAAGTCACCACAGTGGATGAGCACATCCTGGGCTGGGAATGCGAACTATTGGGGCTCTTGGGCACATTCCAGCACCTCGCGCTGTGCGATAGCTTTGCCGAGACCTGTTCTTCATGTGGGCCCTGAAACAACGACGCTTCCGACCTTCGAATGCCAAGGAACACCAGCTGGAAGACTGAGCCGATCGTGAAGCATATGTGTGTCCGAGATTGCAACCTGCGAACGTGTTGGGACTTCTCCATGGCTCAAGGC